AAAAAATATTCGTTCTTTGTGTATAGATCATATCGAAACGGTGGTACAAATTCAAAAACCCTATTTTCTTGAATCCCATTTCTTGAATTACTCAAATATTGCTCTCGTTTTTCTTCATTTGAATGGTTATGAGATTTTTGTTGATAGGAAGAGAGTGTTTCTTTGTTGGAGAAATTCAGGATTCAATTTTTTATGGAGGAACCAATGGGAAGAAGGTATGGAATAGGTTACGCTTTGGCTCCCAAGAAACAAGCCAGTTTCGTTCAGGTTTCTCTCATAAATCTTGCTAAAGAGAGAGGTATCGATCTCATCAAGATCGACCTCGAAAAGCCCTTAATCGATCAGGGCCCTTTTGATTGCATTCTTCACAAAATTTACAGTCCCAGTTGGAAACAACAGTTATCCGACTATGCGGTAAAGAATCCTAATGTCCCTATTATTGATTCCCCCAATGCCATTGAGAGGCTGCACAACAGAATTTCCATGCTTGAGGTGGTGACCGAGATAAATGTTGACTGTGAGACAGGGTCCTTTGGGATTCCAAAGCAGATTGTAATTTATGATGCGAAAGCTGCGAAGGAATTGAATCTTGAGGCCCAGGGCTTGAAGTTTCCATTGATAGTGAAGCCCTTGGTGGCGGATGGTAGCGCAAAGTCGCACAAGATGTCCTTAGTTTTTAACAAGGTTGGGTTGAGTGAACTGAAGCCGCCGGTTGTCTTACAGGAGTTTGTGAACCATGGGGGCGTGATCTTTAAGGTGTATGTTGTGGGGGAGTACGTCAAGTGTGTAAAGAGAAAGTCTCTACCAGATGTGAATGAGGAGAATTTGGGAAATTCTGAGGGGTCACTGTCGTTCTCACAAGTCTCGAATTTGAATAGTGTGGAGAGGGCTGATGACAAGTATTATTCGATGATGGACTTGGAAGATGAAAAGACAGAGTTGCCTCCGATGAGCTTCTTGGTGAATATTGCTAGTGGGTTGAGGGCTGCAATGGGGTTGCATTTGTTTAACTTTGACTTGATTAGGGATTCACTGATTGGGAATAGGTACCTTGTGATAGACATTAACTATTTTCCTGGCTATGCGAAGATGCCCTGCTACGAGCGCGTTTTGACAGATTTTTTCTGGGATATTTTGAACAATAATGATGATCTGAATTTGGAAAGTTTAAATATGGGTACTTGCCAGATGGAAGTTAGAAAGTTGGTTAGTAATAGTGACTGTAACGAGGATGATGAAGCAACAGATCTTCCTGTATCTCCAATAAAGCGGGAAGAAAAAGAGAACGCCTGTTGAAGGGATACAGTGTCACGTGGCTAGTGGAGGGCTTGTTGGCTGACACATTGTTCGATGGAATTTTCTTTCTGTCGGTTGATGGCCTTGACGCGAGCCATATATCACTTCGTTTAGATGGTAGAGTTAGTACAGTGGTTAATAATTAGGTTTCTTTGCTTTGGTTCTGCTGCAATGGGCATTAATGGAGTGCTCTGTGTTGATCATGTACATTCAAGTTGTTGCGTTGAGGATAGGTACTTTTCAATGGAGATTATAGGTATTTCTCAAATACTATGAAGTCTTTAGGAATGTTAAGTTTTACTTCAAGGAAAATGTATTTCCTGGCTTAGTAAACCTTTCTGATGTTTGGCTTCAGCTACTTCAAACAATGAATTGTGCCTTTCTGTCGATGATGTTTCCTTTGGTTCTGCCTTCATTATGTGTGGTCAATGGGTTCTCATCATTCCTGCTGTTTTAAGATTGCTCTTACTCCATGCTTAAACTGAGGTTAATTGCCTGTTATTCA